GCTGAGGCTTGTCAGCGGGTGACATGGATTCATAATGATGATCATAAAGAGTAAAATAAGGCTGAGAAATAATGTTCTGAATCGCCCCTGGGGAGGAGTCGGCTGATTGCCGAGTAATAATCTTTGGCTCGACTGAGTCCGCTTTTCGAGTCGTCTTTAGGGAATGGAGTCGGTTCGACTGAGCCTGTCCTTGGGATAGCATATTTGTGAGAAACAGGGGGCACCCGATAACACTAATCTAATCCGATTTAATACCAATTAAAACTAATTAAAAAATCCTAGCAATTAGATATACAACAAGATATATGAGAAATGATATTAAACTAAACAAGGGCAATATAAATATATACAATATAGTGGATGAAATAAACAATGAGAGAATGGCAATAAAGATGAACAAAAATATATGTGTGCCAAGCCGAACTCAAACAAGCAATATGATCATGGAGTTCGATCCTTCCGACCTATGTCTCCGCTCCCCACTCCCAGGGGGAATCCACTATCACAATTAGGGTTTTAACGTTCACCCAAAAACATTTACACCTCACAATATCAGTTTTTAATATTCACCGATCAATGTTCACAAACACTCACAATGTAACTACACAAATCCCACCTCAAGTGTTGGCCTCTCATGTGTCTTGCTCAAGTACTTGGAATTACGATCTACCTCTAGGCTTTACTACCGACGACACTCCTCTTAAGACCGACCACACCTCTCACCTCTACACTTCTCTTGGTGTATTTGTGCAATACAAAGTAAAACCTCACAATTAAGGTCTATAACAAATGATTGTTCTCTAAACAAGGTGAGAACTTAATTTAGCTCAACTCAATGTTACAAATTCACAACCCCAAATATACTATGTATGAAAATACTAAAAGCTCAAGTGGGTGTGTGTAACAATGAGAATAAAACAAATCTAAACCCAATATAAATTTAGCTTTAATAAAATGATTAACAAATAAATAAATATAAAGCTAGAAAGAGTTTAGGAGGACTTCTCTATAGATCAAGAGAGAGGGAGAAGAGTTGAATGCTCAAACACCAAAGGATGATCTCCTCAAGCTCTTGTAAAAATTTCTTCACAAAACTAATTTTGTAAATAAAAACTTAAACAAACTTAAACCATACTTAAAACTTGTTTTTAAACTCTATTAGATAGGTGAGAATGATAAATGCAATGGGGGTATATATAGGGTATAAGAAAACAACCCAAGAAAACCCTAAAATCCCACTAAAAACAAAAATCAGCTTGTTATCGTTAATGTGCACGGTAACATTAGCGGTCGACAACAGAGCCATGGCCGGTCAACCGCGAAAGGCTGAAGAGCAGAGCAAAGTCTCTAGACTTTAGGCGGTCGACCGCCACGACCAATCCGGTCGACCGCGAACGGATATTTCAGATACTCAGGTTTAAAACAGAAATGCTGATTTTTAAACTTGATTTAAAAATAGCAAGCAGATTCTAAAAAATATAAAACTTTGAAAAATAATGATAATAAACATGTTACAAAAAGAATTTTTGGAATTACACTTCCCAAAAGTAAAATCTCGTCATTTTTCAAAACTAATCCAAAACACGAAAGTGAACATACTTAAAATTTAAATTTTTGACTAAACCATATTTTGAAACTTTATTAAATGATTATATAGACTTAATAAAAGATGTATATAATAATTATTAAGTTCATAAATCAATAACTCAATATTTTCATAAAAATGCATGTTTTGCAAACATTCAAAACAATAAACATGATTTCATTGAACTAAATAAACATATATATATATACATACATACATACATAGAAACCAAATACGTGTATGTGTGTATATGATTGAGCTTAAAGTATTGAACACACCTAATATAAACCCTAAACTAATTTACCCAAGCTTGATTGATCTTCAATGGGCTTATCTTGGATGTGGATGAAGCTTGATCTTGAATATGACTTGAAGTGCATTGCTTCACTCAGATATTCCGCCAACATCCATTAGATATGATCATTATGGCGTAATTTCATCCAACGTTCGACACCTTGTTTGTCTAGAATAAATAAGAAAATACAAACACTAGACAAACAATATTATTCATAAATTGTTTGTTAAAACACCATCAAAACAAAAAGGCCAACACATTGGGGGTGGGGACGGGGGGCAAGAGGTAAGGGAAGGGGTAAGAGAGGGAGAGAAAGGAGGGGACTTTTAGGATGTATGTGATGTTTCTATTATGATATGATATTTATATTGCGATATAATAACTATTTTGTGATTCTGAATCTCACAAAAATATATGGTTAGATTGTTCAAAATTGTTGCTTGTGTGGATCGATTTTCATGTATATATGTGGTTGAAATTTTGTCTATACATGCAACTAATTCAGTATATACAACAAGTTGTGAATTATTATGATTTTCATGTATATTGTTATGATTTATGGGTGGATTTTCGTGTATATTGTTGTAATTCGGTATATATGTAGCAAATTTTTGTTTATGGTTGGATTTTCGTGCATATTGTTGTGAATGAGGCAGAAAATTCAGTATACAACAGGTTGTGAAATAGGCGGAACATGCAAACATGCATTGTGCGTGCATGTTGGTGCATGACCCCCAACTTCACGGGATTCTAAATCTTGTGAAGTTACATGCACTAATTGATAGAGAGCTCTAACGGAGCTCTTTGTCATTTAAATCCTGTAACTTTATAGGATTTCGAGTCTCGTGAAGATACAACCAAACTTCACGGGATTTAGAATCCCAAGAAGTTTTGTTGCATTGCTCTTGCCCGGGCCACGAATTTTGATTAGCCATATTTAATTATGTGCTAAACTTCACGGGATTCTAAAAATCTCGTGATATTTTAGCAACTTATTTAGCATTTTCAACCCAGTTTCAGCTAGCTGGCTGAAATTAGGTCGAAAATACTAAATAAATCTCAAACAGATCGATTTTTGAAAATAAATTTTAATAAGGGTTGGTCTTAAAAATTTGTCATTGTTATATCTTGTTGATATCCTTCAGGGTTAGGAAGGCAGCATATTGATAAAGAAAGATACTAGCCATGCTCTAGTAGGTAGGAGACTATTTGGGTTGGAAAATTTGGGACCACGGATTGAGTTTGGTTGTTTTTTCAATAGGACAGATTGAGTTTGAATTTTACTTTGTGATTCGTACATTTTTTCTTAATGAGTTGAATCCGGACCAAAAGATTTCCTGTTATTTGTCAAGATTCTCTCATCATTTACAAGAACTCTCAACAATCAGATTCTATTGACTCTTTTTTGCTTGTCTTCTCCGACAACCATCAGCATGAACCTCATACAAGGGTCAACCATCAATGGCTACTTGGTCGACTCCTTTGTATTTTTTTTCCAAAAGCATCACCCTCAGAAACCCCCTCGCCAAATCACAACCGTCACACAACGTTTCATCTAGATACATTAGTCACATTTATCTCATGCGATAGAACCCATAATCCTTCCAACATGGAAGGAGGCTCTAGCACTATGTACCATTTTGAAGGTGTTGGTCTGCTCCTTATGCTGAGGATGAGGGAAAAAAAGAGGTAAACCCTTTTTATTAACAAATTTTATTTTTCTTTTGGTAACTTCAAAATTCCTAACATCACAACTTATATATTTCCTTTTGAAGTATAATCAATTGTCTGGAATCTTGGTTGGGGTCCGATATTTGGGTCCCCGTGTTTGCTTGTGTATGCAAGCCCTTGTATCATTGAGATCCTTAGCGACTCGTAGACCAACAATAATTGTTCCTCCCTCCGCAACACCTTCTGTTCCTCATTTTAAATTTTGACAGAAGTCCTGACTAAACGACCCGTCTCCAAGACCTACTTTCCCGAATCCTGCCCCATTATTGGAGTCGCACAAGACCCGTGTTATAACCCTCATGTCTTATTTATTGCGAAACACCCAGTTTGAGTTCTAGCTGGATTAGATTTTAGCTTCTGTAACCCTTTAATTCGAAGCGCTTTTTCCCCGTTTATTCTTTTTTTTAAACAGTATCATCATTGCTAAACATTAATTCTAAGAGCTCGATCACCTCGAGGAATGACTCCATAATATAGTGGAGTTCAGTAGTTTATGCTTTTGAATCTAACATTTTGCTATATTGATTTCATTTTAAAACTTTAGATTTTTATAACATTAAAATGTCAAAGTATATAAATTAAATGAAATAAATCTAAATGAGTCGATCTTGAAGGTAGATTTGGACTGAGCCTAGAAAATCCTGGAGCTTTGATCCAAGTCTAAACGAGCGAAGTTCTATTTAATCCCATATACGTCCATTTATTATATCAAATTTACACGTGGACACTCAACCTAGAAATAGATGCTCAAAATATTTTGTTCTTCCAACAAGAGTTGATTTGGATTTTTAAAGCTTTTGTGCCTTCGTCCAAGCAAAGTTTGGATCCGGGTCCTGATGCGGCCTTCACACCCAAGTTCGAGAAACCCGACCCGCGTAATAAACAGTGTGCGCAGTGCGCGCACCCTGCGCATTATATCTTAAACCAAGCGAGCGGGAACTCCCAAAAACCAAAATCCTCTCTCTCTCTCTCTCTAACCCTTCCCCTTTCTTCAATCCCTTGTCGTTCTCTCTTTCTCTCTCTAGGTTTTCATCTCGAAACCCTAATTCCACGCTCGAAGTTCCCATTTTCCACCCCGTCTCTGTCTTCGCTCGTCCATCTAGGGTTTCGGAATGGGGGTTCGAAGATAAAACCCTAAATCCCCAAATGGACTTCTCTTTTGTACCCTCCAACGATGAGTAATAGAGAAGATTTCCCAATCGAAGGCGAGTCCAGCACCTCGAGAATCCACATCCCTCAAGCGAATCGCGATCTCCAGTCGAATTGGGAACTCGATCTCGCCAATAACATAGAAGAGTACCTTCTCAAGATTTGCTCCGGCGAGGTCTCGCCTGATCACGAGAGCTCGATTAATTTCGCTGAGGGTTCGTTCTGGAACTTAAAGTCCTGTTTTTTTGGGGAATTATGGTGTTTTTTTGTTGATTATTGCTGGATTTTCTTGGTTTTAGCTGCGCTGCTGCTGCAAGGTTCGGTCCAGGTGTACAGCAGGAAGGTAGAGTACTTGTATTCGTTGGTTCTCGCTGCATTGGAGTTTCTCTCGGAGAAGAGGTTTGAATTTTAAGTTCTTGTGTTAGTTTCTGTTAAAATTTTGGCCTTTTACTGTAAAATGTTATACCCCCTCCTTTAGGGTTTGGAAATACCCTTTAGACTATAGTGGGAATGCAAATCTAATGATGTTTTAGATTTTTGAAGATTGACTGAGAAGGATATTAAGCAAAAATAGCAACATATAAATGTAATAGAGCAACTTTTAATGGACTACATATTGTGTGGAAGGATAAATTTGATGATTTAACAAAGGCGAAGTTGAGACGTGCGGAAACTGAGTGGTTATTGTTTTGAACGTAAAACTGCAAGCTGCTTGAAGCATACATCATCAAATAGATTTGAATCCCAAAAGCCTGTTGTGTTTGAGAGATTTTCGAAACTTACCCGTGTCTGGGGGATTTTAGACAACAGCACCCCCCCCCGCCCCCCCCGCCGCACGGCCACAATCACACGACACAGAAGAAGAGCTGTGCAAAGCAAAAACAGTCGCAAAGATGGTGTTCAGCAGCATGGGTTCAGTGCGCGCCAAACATGCCTACATCCATGGTCTCATCCACTATGTTCACAATACAATGCAATACAATTGATACAAGTTTTACATGGACAAACTTGAAAACCTCAAGCTTCCAAGGTCAATACATGCATGTTCCTCATTTTGAGATTTGGGAAGAAACCCAACACCACATTCCAAGGAGAGGGTGTTAAAGGACACTTATAATTATATATAAATATAGATATGCTGACTTGTTCAATAAATTTAGTGGAAGCCCCCCCCATGAAAGCTGGGAATCTAAGTATATGATATCAGACTCAGCTTTGGTAACCAACTATTACAAGGAGGGTTATATTTTTCTGAAGTGAAGTTACGTGAATGGCAAAGTATTACATAGAAGTTTATTGGAAAATATTCATTGTTTTAAAAAAAGTGGCTATCTTGGTGCTTTGGAGATTTGTTGAAGCAGTCACCGAGGTTGTTCTGTATGGTCCAAAAACATGGACAAAAATATCGTGGTTTTCTTTTTTCTTTGCCAATGCGTTAAGTGGTTGACATGAACTTGCAAAATTCCTCTGATCTTATACATTAATTTGAAAGTGTATCCAGATCAGATTATTTTGCATCCATTTTATGTTCTAGTGTGCAATGTCTAATATTAGTAAGTGTTCCAAAAGCGGCTCCTAGGTGCTACCCTGGCATGATATTATCTTTACTGGTACTTAGTAGTGGGTAAAAGTGAAAGTTGAAGCAGATGCTAACGCCCTGTTTGGATTCTTTTCTTTTCTTTCTTCCTTTTATTTGGGGCGGGGGGTGGGGGGTTGAAGGCGAAGGAATGAACAATTCTGTGCAAATTATATTTTTGGACTCAAATTTATAGTTCCATGAAGCTCAGACAGTTTCTAGAATTATTGGTTTTTGTGTATGTAAACAATGCGTATATGTCTAACATGTTGCCTTTATAAGGCCCTGGAGCTTCCATTAACTTTGTTTGGGGATACTTTATTTGTTACCTATATCAAGGTTTACTTAGTAGTTCATATAGGGGCTTTGTTAGTTTCCTTCAAGGGGACTGTGCCTTGTCTAGAATCACAGTTTTTTATGTATGCATTAAGATCTTGATAATTATCCTAAAGAGCATAGTAAATGTATGAGGCATTTGTTGGAAACTTAGAACTTCATGGTTAGTCAAACAAATTGTGTTCCCATGAATTTGCTGTTTTGAGTAGTTCATTTACAACCATCATTTCCCGATAGATTTGCCTGATCCTGTTGGTTACTTACAAAAGGAATGATTGGTATGTCTAAGTGGCTTTGTTAGTTCACTTAAGCGAAGTTGTATCTGGGCTGGCTGTGTGCTTTTTTATAGGAAGTTAACGTCTTGTAATACTATCCTATTGAATTTTTTCACTCCAGACTATAATTTGTTTTGATTAATTTTGGTGCAGTTGATCTGTCTGCCTGATTACTCATGATTTACACATTTGCGTTCCTTTACTATAGCTAGTTCCTGCATACTTGTCTGGGCTATTGCTCACAATATCATTGTTTATACACAGCAAATGATGTCCTGATCTCTAATATAACCATTTTGCTCATCCACAATTACATCTTTATCATTGAATTGACATGTTCTAATTTTACTTAAAGTCATTCCTTGTATCATTAATCAAAATTCGTTCTCAAGCTTGTAGTTTTTATTTTTTATAACTGGTTTTTGCATATCTATAGCCTTGAGCTCTTAATTTTTGTGGATGGAACAAAATTACCTTCTTAACCCATCTTCCATAACACACATGCTTTTAGACAAGACCATTTTGAGATATTAGCATCCTGTTACATGGTAATAATTACTGGCTTATACTGTCGCTATGTACTTGTTATTGTGTACTTGTATATTAATGTTTCAAACTGAAATTCCAAAGAAACATATAGTTAGTGCTTGAAGTTGTTTATTGTTACCTTGTGCACCAAACTTTGGTGAACTAAGGAAACTAACGCTCTAACAGGCAAGATCAACAGGAAAAAACTTCTGTACAGCCAGATGGAGGTGAACCTAGTGCAGTTATTGAGGATGAGAATGAGGTTTTCTTGGGGTTGGATGATGTCCCTGGTACCTGACAAACACTCTCTACTTGTTTCTTTCTTTCTTTCTCTTTCTTGTCTACAAGTTACTAAATGAGTTACTACACTTGCAGTGGAACCTAAGAATTGCCTGGATCGTAGACATGACAATGAAGACACTTCCAATCATTTTGTCAAGCCTCCTGCGAATTTGCTTGTACTAGAAGGGGATTGTTTAGATAGCAGTGAAGACGCCAGTGAATTAGAATCATATCTGGTAGTCTTTTTCTTTCTTGAACAATGCACCATGTTTTGACTTTATAATATATTTTTTTTCAACTCAGATTTATCGTATTTGTTATTGTTATTGCAGTTAGCTACTTGCAACTTTTACAGAGATTTTCTTCTTTTGGACCCGTGTGATGCGGGAGCTGTTTACAAATTTCTAAAAGGGAAAAGTGTTGACCAAGAAGAACCTGCTTTGTATAGAGGCAGCTCAGTGCGCTCTAAAAATCGCCGCAGTATTTTTTCTTCTCCAACCGGAAGGTCCGGTGGAACTCCTCATAGATCAAGTTTAGGGAAGAACCAAGGGGTCACTCTAAACAAAACTCCTGAGAGTAACCATGCATGTGAAAATAATATTGATGATCCATCCTGTGCTTCATATGAACCATGAAGAGGAACCAAATTTTGGAGGTTCAAACGTTGGAGATGATTCAGACAGTGATAGTGATGATCCATGGAAGCCTTTAAATCCTCATGAACCCGGAAACTTGAAAATAAAACCGTTCAAAGCAAGTATGTCATTTTGAAATTTCCATTTGAATTTAGACACTGAATAAAATTCTGAGTTATGTTATGTTTCTCTTTTATGCTTACTCCTTTGATTAGGCAAACCTTTTGGAAGACAGATTAGTCGCAATTCAAAGCAGAATACTGTAACTTCTCAATTTCCTATTGCTAAAGTGGATGGGGTGATCAGTCCAGAGCTTGCAGAAACATTTGAAATAAAGCGGCGTTTACAGGATCAACAAAATGCATCTCAGTCCCCTCCTCTTTTTGAAAAGGTGCTTTTGTGCTGTGTAATATTATCTGCCCATGCCAAATTTATACAAGCCTATATGATAATTAACTTTAATTCTGCAGCTAAGAAGGTCATTTACAAATGGAGAAGAAGAAACCTTTAATGCTTTTGGTGGCATTGAGGATGAAAATGATTGTAATGATGATGGCTTTCCTGATTTTGATCATAGAGAGTTTGATCTACCAAATAATACATACGATATGGATACAGAGCTATCGCCAAACTGCGGGAAGGTTTTAAATGTTTTTCCTTTCTGCATAATTGAACAATTACTAATCTTGTTTACCATTTGATTTATGTTTCATGTAATTGATATGCAGAGAGATGATGCTGCAACTTTTGATGGCACCGAAGCTTTTACACAAGATAACCTGGGTTCTGAAGCAAGTCTCGAGGATATTTGTCGTTCACATCTGGTAAAGAGAAACATCTCAATCTATCTTTGCAATCTGTAGTTGTGGCCATTTTAGATTGTGTAGTTTTATGCTGGGTGAATAGATTCTTATTTGTTTCAAGGTGTGTAGCAACATGTCATGTCTTAGAGAAAAATTAAATGAATAAGTACAAATTTGGTAAAAGTTGATACCCATGTTTACTGCAATGGTTATTGTTTTTTTTGTTATTTTAAAGACATAATGACGCAATTATTAAACTAGTTTAATTGATGTAATATAATATAGTCATGTGCATAATGCTTTTGGGCTATATATGACCATACATACCATGGCGCAGGATGCACTTCTTGCAAGCATAGCTGAAACTGAAAAGCAGACGGAGTTGGCTACCCGTGTTTCAACATGGAAGCAGCGAATTGAGCAAACCTTGGAAGAGCAAGTGAGTTTTAAGAGCAAGACTAGCTCTACCAAGTTTAAACTAGAATGTAATAAGGCAGTTGATTTTTGTTTCTGAATCATAACACGTGTGGTTTTTGACTTTTAACCTGTCAGGATACCCACTCCGCTTTTGATATACATCAATATGGTGAGATGATTCTTGACAGGTTATCTTCAGAAGCAGATAACAGTGGGAGCATGCCTTTCACAAACGTTGTAAAGGGCCAACCTAAACATGATGTTGCTCGAACTTTCTCTGCACTTTTGCAGCTGGTGATTTTTCTCTCTTGTCATCTGTATAATGATTTTCTTTTGTTTGCATTATTAGTTGGTCCACAAAATAAAATTGTAAAGTTATCCAAATTTATTGGAACTTCCTCATTTTATTATTATTTTATTCTCCTAAAAGTTTGATCAATGTTTTAAATCTTGTCCTATGATCAATTTCATGGGAGAATCGTTGATTGCTTCACAAATGTTCATAAACACATGTAAGTGTACCTGCACACGCATAGGTACACTTACATGTATTTATGCTGGGTATTTATGTAGTTTTTGTTTGTATCTATTTTATATATCCTGCTGTTATAGTCTCATGTTTGTTTGTTTGGCTCTTTTTTGTGTTTTTGTAGGAGTATTAGGATGTACCTATGTGAGTTTCTAGTTTTATTGAAAGGTTAATTGTGAACAGACCCCTTGAAGTGTCACCCAATTACAAAGAGACCCCATGTAGTTCTAATTGTTGTGAATAGAACCCCTGTAGTTCTACTTCTTGCGAATAGACCTCGCGGAGTATTGGCCCAAGTGCGAATGCACCTCCTTAGTGAACTTTTTTGACTCTTTTAAAAGTAATTAAAAAAGCAATTGGATGATAGAACTACTGGAGATCTATCCGCGTCTTTTTTAACGGTTTTAAGAGAAAAAAAAAATCACTTAGGGTGTCTATTCGCAAGAAGTAGAACCGGAGGGGGTCTATTTGCAACAAATAGAGCTAAGGGGGTCTCTTTGCAACAAATAGAGCTAATGGGGTCTCTTTGCAACTGGGTGACAGTACAGGGGTTGCTCACAATTAACCCAATATATAATGTAAAGGTAGTCTGCTGTTTTGGGGAACATTATGAATTTGCTACATTTTTTTGGATTCCAGGTTATTTTTCTTAGCGCTGTTATTTGCTTCCACCTCTTGAGGAGGGTTTGAACTTGTATCTGTATCTTCATGTAGGTAAATAATGGGGAAGTAGACCTGCAAAGAGCTCCAGCTAATAGCAAGCTAATATGCTTCACAGCTGAAAATCCCTTTACTGTCAAGCTCCTTCGCAACAGCAGGCAAAAAGAGGAAATGGGAATGTTTTCGAGGAAGAGAGTGAAGTCCCCATCAAATCACCAAAACAGCAGCAAAGCTAATCCCTCCACCTCACCCTCAAAACCCTCAAATCAAAGTGGTAGGTTGTCTGTTAAGCTCGGGAAGGGTGCTGTTATTAGATGCACCCCTGAGGGTAAGAGGAGGCGAAGGTCTCGGTTAGCATCAGTAGATTTGCAGCCTGCTGGATGACCTAATACAGAAAACTTCATTTATCTTTTAATTTACTCCGCTAGATGCTTTCAACTCCAAAGCTCTATGATGTTTTCATCTATAACTGAAGTATCCGAGCTTTGGCTAACAATTAAGCAGGATAGTCCACTTTGTATTGTAGATTTAGGCTATTAGATATTAGATATTTATGTGTTACGCATTTTCCTGTGTATGTATTATCCTTGATCTATTATTCTCTGTTCAACATGTAACGTTAGATGTTTAATTTAGAAATGTGATTTATACAGTTTCAAATATATCTTGTGTCTTCCCACGTTGAAAGCTGAAAGGTGATAAAGGTATCAGGTTTCCAGAATTATGTTCAATGATATCTTGATTGTTTTGAGCGTTGTGGGTTGTTTTGGACTGGTAAGTCTTACTGCACTTTCTACTTTTAGATTGTTTTGATCTTCGTAGATTGTTTTGGACAGGCGACCAAGTCACACCTTTTTCAGGAACTAGTATAGTGTACGTGCAATGCATGTGACATATTTATTTTATATTCTAAATTTTTTTCATGGGCAAGAAGGTAGTACATTGGTGTGTAGGAAAAAGATAAAGAATTATTTATAGAAAATTATTGGAAAGAAGTTTTGAGTGTTTTAATACGTACATTTACAAATAAAATGAGTATCAATGGTCTAGGAATCAATGTGAAAGGATAAATAATTTTTTGATCGGTTCGTTGTTATTGGCTTCTTAGGCTGAGCATGATATGTGTAGAACTAATTGATATTGAGAACAAAAGTAATGATAATTGTTGTAGTAATATATTATGTAAATAGATTATATATGTGATGCGAAGTAAAATATGTAGATTTTGTAATAGTTTATACATACCTAGTAACTAATAGAAAATGATTATTTCACTTTAAAAAATGTGTTCATCACAACCTGAAACAAAGGTATGTTTTATTATATAAACTGAAATTTCTGATTTTAATTGATCCATAATGTTGTTGACATTCATTTGGCAGTGGTAAACTAAAGAGCAACTATAGTTACACAGCTAAATAGTTAGGGTTATCTAGATATTGGTCCTAAAATTTTTAGTAGTTATATATTAGTCCCTCAAAACTTTGTAATTACTCGCAAGTCCATCCTGTCCTAAGTGTTCTTACAAAGAAGGAATGACAGCAGTTTCAAGGTCAAAAAATAATGTAATTGATTTTCTCTTAGTATGAGGGATGAAATCATGTTATCATACATACTGTCCAAAAGAAAAGGAAAAAAAAAACATTTTCTAAAAAGATTCAATTTGGGCTATTAGAAAAAAACCTCTGCTTTAACTACAAAAACGTGGATACCTGAATGTTGCTCCCCTTCTCATCCATATCATTTGATTAGCCAAATCAGAACACTTCTTTCTATAGTTGCTCGTGGTCGGTGGTAGTTTTAGATGAATAGTTTAATTATCACTATTCTTTTTAAAGATGCAAATTCACTAAATTTGAGGGTATATATGGAAGAAATACTTTTTTAAATTTCAGCTACGACCTATTTGTTGTAATAGCAAAGTAATTTAAAAAGGCCACATAAGCAAAGAAGTCATTGACATCACCATTCCAGAGCTTGAACCACACATAGCCAGAATTCCATCGCCTAGTATATCTCTATATGTAACAGAGAGAGCTTTTCTTAAACATCAAACAACATTATGGATCAATTAAATCAGAAATTTCAGTTTATATAATAAAACATACCTTTGTTTTGGTTCTAAATTCCTAATTCACAATTCCAACAAGCTATTGATCTTGCATGGCTCCTTATTAGCTTTTGTATACTCTGACGTTGAGGTTGTTGGGCTATCTGTAATAAATTAAAAAATAAAAAATATTTCTTTTTTTGACAATCAACCCAAATTGTTTTTTTCAGAAGGTCAAATTTTAACCTGGTTATAAAAGTACGCACCATTCTGTTCAATTGTGACCATTCGCTAACTTCTTCATTATCTTTCGTAAGCTTGCCGACAACTAATTTTGTGATTCTAGTTGCAAATTTAAAACCTAGGATAAACTCAAAGGTGAAGTTGTAAGTTTTTATGTGAGTTTTGATACCTGTTGATTATGAAAGATAAGAAAATTGTGAAGAATGAGAGGTTGCAAGTGATTGCATTCGAGTGGCTCGAGCTTTAGTAGCAAGTGACCCCAAACGGATGCTAGGAAATGGCTCAGCTGCCGTTGCTCAAAATCGAGCTAAACAAACATTGTGAGAGTCACCTGTAATCCTAATCACTCACCATGATCTTATTTTAATTGAGAGAGAAAGATGCAACTCCACCTTTGGAATTCCAAGCACTCTCCATTTTTATAGATTTTAATTGAGAAAGTGTAATCGCCACGTCTCCACCTTTAAAATTAATTAACTCTCCATAATTTAATTAGCTGATTTTAATTGAGAGAGAAAGCCATAACTCGATCTTTGGAATTCAAAGCAAACAATTTGGTTTAATACATCGCCCTCTATATTTTAGTGCACATAGTAAAGTTTACAAGATGTTACATAATTAATTTGAAGGGGGTATGGTTTTGTGTAATTATTACATTTGATGATTTAATTAATTAAATTGAGTTGCATATTTATTTGAGTGCAATATGGTGATTTGAGTGAATTTTGAAGGATATTTTGGGAAATTAAAAGTTTTGACACTCATATTCTCTTTTATAAGTAGTATAGAAGTGTAGATTATATAATATATAACAATAACAAATTGATATATCAAAATAATTAAATATATTATTATTTAAAAATAATATGTAATAAGTATAATATAATATAACACATTAAAGTACAATATATTATTCTAATACATTATACAATATTATATTATATTATATTTAATATTATGATACTATAATAATGTAAAATAAATATTATAAACATTTTATTTATAATATATTTTAATATAATTAATATATAAAAGATTAATAATATGTTTAATATTAATGTTGTAACGGGTCAAGCTAGTGTTGACCAAAAAGACTCAACAAGGTGTTTTGAAAACACTTTAAGGGAAAACACAACAACATTATGTTTTTTTTACAAAAAATACAATAAAGAAAACACTATGGTATCCAAATGAAGCCTAAGTTATCGACCAATCATAAGGCTGGCATTGCAACATATTAAAAAAGTAAATTTCACAAAACAACCCCCGACTTTTGCCTATTTTGAGCTGAGCCCCCAAACTTATAATAATGTCACTTAACCCCCCTACTTTTGGTGTTTACACAAAACTTACACAAGCTTTGACCTTTTTCAAAATACGCGTTACATGAAAGGTTGGGGTTTTATGAAATTTACTAAACCGAAGCTGAGAAAGAGGTGTTGAAAAAAGTTAAGAGTTTATGGGGTTTTTGTGAAAACCCCAAAAGTTAGTGGGTGAGGTGAGGTGAGTTAAACCAAAATGAGCCAACGTTGGGAATTTGTGAAATTTACACCATAAAAGAGTACTAACGTGACTAACTTTTATGTAAACTTCATCCAATCCCATATAATAATATTCTGTAATTGCAAAATAAAAAAGAATAAATAATCAAGATTACAGAAATAACTCGGATTAAACCCACGTATACCTTCCATTAGCAGAGGAGACAAAAACTTCATCTTCAAGAACTTAAAACGACTCATTTCTTTACATAATTATTAAACCTAGCAACAACTTTAAAAATTTATCGAAGCAAAAGAATAAATCATCAAGATTTTGTAAATAATCCAAATAAATTATATGATAGAATAACAATTTAAATATAATTCGTACCTTCTGTCATTTTTTAACAAAAATGTGCAATGTTTTACCTCAACAAAACATCAAGGGGAGAATAAGGTAGAGTATTCACCAATTCAAGAATATTAATCATGATTTTGAGATTTTCACCTTTCCGGCTATTTGAGTATCAACAACCACAATGATCCCCAAAGTCGTTTATCACCCTCGGAGTATACACTGGCGCAAGTTGGGGAAAAAACATAGTTATCATCATAAATTTAAATAAAATAAGATTAAAATTAAAAACTCAAAGATGACCCAAGAAACAATTCATTGACGCGAACTGGAAAAATAGAACACAATTCTCATTATAATCATAAACTTACATAAAAGAAAATAAAAATTTAAATTATGTGATAGAATCATCAAAGGTAAGTCGAAATGTCGAGAGCTATATTTGAAAGAGTAAATCTATCACATGTACAAAATGAGGCATCCTAGACGGAAAATTCCGTCTAGGAAAATCATTTTTCCGTCTAGAAAGACTATCCTAGACGGAATTCCGTCTAGGATGTCCGTCCAGTAAGATTCCGTCTAGAATGTAATATTCTAAATGGAATTTTCATCTAGGAAGTATCATAGACGAAATTAAAATCCCTATAGGAAGCATCCTAGACTAAAATTTTGTCTAGGATACTTCCTATCCTAGACGGAATTCCGTCTAGGATGCTTCCTTGACGGAAAATCCGTCTAGGAAGTATCCTAGACGGATTTTCTGTCTAGGAAGCATCCTAGATGAAATTTCCATCTAGGATGCTTGCTACAATGTTTTTTTTATGGTGAACCTACTCAGTGGATACCAAAGATACACCTGCAATTAAGCCCAATCAGATATTTCCTCAATACTAATATCAAACAAGATATTAGAGCCACTATATACTCATTAATTTTCAATGTACCAAATTTTGCTTAAATCATTCCTAATCCGGTACAAGAGAGCACGCATCTGAAATGTAAATGCTCGTATTAAAAGTATGGTTCAAGTGGAAACTGGAAGCTTTATGAATACAAGTGATTTAACACCCTATGATTAGCCAACGCAGGCACGATGCTTAATGCATCCATCAGCAGTCTCAACAACAAGTTGTTTCATGCGCAAAATCAACAGCAAGTAAGATCACCCATTGTGACCTGAAAAAAAAGTGAAAAAAAGAAAAGCATTAGATCTCTCAGCCTGACACAAAGGGTAGTAAAAAATAAATTAGTTCTGAAACTATCAAGCGAGTTGGATTTTTTGGAAAAAAATGTTTGAAATATTTATGTATTTGTTCAGAGGGTTATCGATTAACACGAATGAACACCCCCGAAATCTATTAATCACAAGAGTTACTATGATACTATGCTAGCAATTGTGGACATAACTCAACTAGGATGTTATTAACAACAACTTAAAAAATTTGGGGAGTAAATTAGACATACGAAGATTTGGGGCCTAATATAACATTAAGAGAGGATTACGGTCTCATATGACAAAGCTCCAAATCTCTAAAGCTCCAAATCTGCCCGGAAAAAATACCCTATAAACAGACTGAAATTACAGAAGTATACCCTTATGTTACCTTGTAATGTCTGTTTTCTCACTCCTGGTTGTTGTCCCCTTCATTGGACCTATTATCCTAAATAAGCAGAATCAAGATCTGTGAGCAGATGAAAGCTATGCAAATGTTAACATTATCGTTATGTGATACTTATAAAGACTAAGGAGCTGGTCCCTGAAATCATAAGTTCTAAAATTTTGCATAACATTCTCTTAAATAAGTTGATTGCTATTAACTCAGAAGTTACCACATAAACGAAGAAATTTGGAAAATAACTGTAGAACCATGCAAGAGACGTAGACATATAACAACAAGCAATGCAAATAGCATACAACTCTCAAGTTTTTTTAATATCTAATAAATAAATTCAGAAATTGTTTATTAACCCTAAATGCTTCTGATGTGCACCACCAGTGCAAGAAAATGAACAGATGGCCTGGAGACACAAATATATTAAACTGGTATATAAGTCATATAGAATATGCTGTAAAAATGAGATCAAAACCTAGACATTGTTTTATTTGAAGAACACACAATTTTTCACTGAGATAAGTAAGACAATGAATCTTCAAGCATTATCATTTGGTTTATTAATGTCATTCTTTTGAGAATTTCACAGAATAAGTTAAAAAGTTCACAAAGCTGTAAAAATTTCACAGAATTATCATTTGGTTTATCTAGATTCACAGCTCCTCTTTGTTGACAAATATTAGAAAATTTGGTATGTTGTTTGTATGTGTTTGAGCTATGTAGTAGGTCTAGTGAGCTGCAAACAGCTGACTAGTTCTTAAACTTGTGGATAGAATAGGGATATGCTCCTAATTTAAAAAATGGCTTATTCATGGTCATTAAAAATAACAATATGCAAAAAAACTAATTGGAACATCCTTCTTTCGGCAGGGCCATGGTCACATGACTAGTAATTAATGTAAGAAAATTTACAAATCACCAAACAATGGCGAGTGAAGAACACAAATTAGCTACAAGAAAACCATGCTAGCATAAAGGCATAATTCTTCTAAACAACTTTTAAAGACATGAATATACATGTATTTGCTTAAAAACTATAGAAAAGCTAGAAAACTGCAGTGACTCATCACTCAATTTCATATTGAAATTAATCCAAAAACTTCTTTACATGTAAGAGGAAGTAATATCCCTAACATCAGAGGGCGTGAAAGCCAAGATCAAGAGAACAACAAATATGCCAATCTACTTCTGTATTACTAAAGGAGAACAACAAAAAAGATCAAATGAACAATAACTTTCAAAAATAATCTAAAAATTTAAATGGACCAACCAACGTACTAAAAATTTATAACTAAAAGAAATTCTTGCTATGTACAGTAAAATTTCTCATCTTCCACGTATTTTAATATCAATTTCCCACAACCGTCTATTGTAACTCAGCCTCCCACGTTTCCTATAACCAACTCCCACCTCTGATAATTCCAAACTCTCCCACCTCCTGTAACTCCACGTTCATGCCGGTTTCAAAAATTCTTCAAAAGACGAAGCTTAAATAAAACGAGAGAGTGTAAGCGAAGCGAAGAGGAGAGAGCAACGAGACCTCAGATCCCGCAATTTCTAAATCAGATCTGATTCCAAATCCCCCAAAGGTCAGATCATGGATCCAATTCAAGCCCTAACCCTAACCCCCCTCTCTCGATCTCTACTCAGTTTCATTGGTTTTGTTTCAGATTTAGGGTTTGATAGAAGGAGGGGGAGGAGATGCTGACGAAATTTGAAACTTTGGTCGCGTTTATTGAGAAATTTGAAGGTTAGGTTTAGGGTTTGTACTCTGGAGATGGGGGGAAGAGGCGGGAGTTGACGAAACGGGAGGCCTTGGGCGACGCCCTCCTATATATGCACTTTATACATATTTTCTGATGATCCTTTTACAATTAGGTTATATATAGTATGGAACTCTTTGTGTAGTAATTTTGTTTTGTTTATTAAGCATTAAGTTATTCATCTGACTGAGTCACATTTCCTACCAGATCATTAAACATTTTGATGGATGCAAAGCCGACTTGGTTGTTTGTGATGGTGCTCCTGATGGTAAGAAGAGGTGATTGGTAACTTTAGTTGCAACATTTATGTTACTAGAACTTATGTAAATGAATAACTGCAGTTACCGGACTTCATGATATGGATGAATTCGTTCAGTCGCAACTTATTTTGGCAGTAAGTGCAACTTCCTTACTGAACTTTTTTGGTTTTATACAAAGTGATAATTACGCAACTTATTTTGGCAGTAAGTGCAACTTCCTTACTGAACTTTTTTGGTTTTATACAAAGTGATAATTAATTCTGGGTGATCTGTATTCCTTTGAATTTATGATTTGGACCAATCCTGATGGTTCACTTTAAATGGTTTTTCGACATGTAGGCACTGACCATTGTTACTCACGTGCTTCGAGTGGGTGGTAAATTCATTGCTAAGATATTTCGTGGTACAGATGCAAGCCTCCTCTATTGCCAAGTAAGATCCTTTTCTATGTTTTACCATCCTCACCTCTCTGTATATCTGATACGAGTCGCCGTGCGAGCACCCTTTGGTCGCGGAATTACCAAAAGGTGGGTTGAGAAGAAGACAACCAAAACACTAGAACAATTCAGTATGGTGAAGGAAAATACTTTCTCTAGATTATGAAGAATTAATTATTACAAATCTCTGTCTCACAATCTCACTAGAATTGAGAACAACCTCTCAATCCTCTCTAAACCCTAATACAATGATTAGAATCTCTCTTAATTCCCTCTGATTGCTTAGAAACCCTAAAATAATCCTTTATATAGGTGTACAAACATGGATGACAATCTGGTAAATAACCAAGCCCAAAACCAACAGGAATTCGTGTGAACAGAAACCCAAACGAACCAGAAAACCATCGATGAGTCGACTCATGACTGAGATGAGTCGACTCATGACCTCATATGAGTCGACTCATAACTGATGAGTCGACTGGTCAGAAACTTTTGCTAATAGGGCTTGATTTCGTGAGTCGACTCATGACAGGCATGAGTCGACTCAACCTGATGAGTCGACTCATACATGTACACGAGCTGAAAACTGGATTCTTCGAATCTGCTGCTCGTCGTCTCGTTCCACACTTCCACTTGCGTTCCACTGTACTGTTTTACACCCCTATTCTCATGCTATCATGAGAATCATCTATCCTCAAGCTCCCATGAGGATCGCTAAGCTCCCGAAGAGAAGATACACCCGTATCATGGGGTCCCCTCTTTAGGAACTTGAAGTCTCGTTCAAGTTAGAATTTTTGCTGAGGAAACTCTCGTGCTCCTCTATCTTTTCTGCACCACCTGGCCTTGCTAGAAATCTGGTCTCGACGTCCGATCGGAAACAACTCATTTGTCCCGCGTCTCGTCGTAGTCACCGTTCGCTCCAAGTTGCAATCCTTTATCGATGGCTTTTCTGAAAGTCTAATGCACAGCGAGACAAACTTTTTGCTTGCATTCACTAGTCTCTTCGCTCGCGTCACCGTCCCCAAGCTTATCTCCCTCGGAAGAGATGCCGAACGAAATATAAACTTTTTACCATCCTTAGTGAAAGTGTACTTCTGAGCCCGCCTCTCGTAGATCACATATTTATCCCATAAGTACGGATTACCCAGTATAATCTGACAAACATCCAATGGAACGACGTCGCACGTGACCTCATAAGTACGGATTACCCAGTATAATCTGACAAACATCCAATGGAACGACGTCGCACGTGACCTCGTCAATATACGACTCGTGGAGCGCAAATCTGACAGTACATTGATCAACTACACTCAGTTTCTCCTCCTTCTGAATCCACCCCAATGGATAGGATTTCGAATGCTTGACCGTCTTCAGACCCAGCTTCTGAACCAATGCCTCGGATATCAAATTCTTCTCGCTGTCCGAATCAACAATGACATCAACCAAACTGTTCTTCACTTGCACTTAAGAACAAAGAGTTGCTTTCTCGGGTCGTCGTCCTCTTTCGTGGTCTGCTTTCCCGCCATAAGGTTGAGACTGCTGTTGGGCTCTGTCATCCCCGGGAGTTTTTTCGGACCTTGAGCCATCATGTATGTCTTTTTCTCCTCCTCTTTCTTCTTCAACCCTCTTGGCTTAAGATGATGATACTTCTCCCAGCACCGATCAGCCGTGTGTCCTGTCTTCTCGCAGTGACTACAAATCAACCCTGCTTTTCCTGGATCACCCTTCTTCTTCTCCTCCTTAGATTGAGAACCACTAGACTCGCCTCCCGTCTGTTTGGAGTCTCCCTTAGACTCGTTGTCCTTCTTTTGCTTGCCCTCGAGGGCAATAGCCTTCACGCTCGCCTCTGCAATTGATTCCACCGTGAATAGCTTCATCTCCTTTCGGATGTAATCGCTCAATCCCGTCATATACTTCATAAACACGGAATATTCCTCTGTCGTAATGTTGAGGACCATCACCTGCTGCTGAAACTCCATGGTGTATTCTTGAATGGTTTGATTGACCCTTTAGCGCAAACCGTACCACTTGTACCAACGCTGTTCAAGAAACCCCACTGGGTAAAACTGCTTCCTCAGTAACTCCTTAAACTTGTTCCACGACACCGCCTTCTTCTTCTACTTGCAGTAGGATTTTCACCACGTCAACGCGTGCCCTGAAAGCTTCAAAGTCGCGAACATAATCTTCTCTTTTGACGAATAGCCATAAAGAGTAAAATACGTTTTCATCCGCTCGATCCAGTCATCAAGCCTCTCGACGTCAACACTCCCATCATAAACATGAATCTTCACCTTGAAGTCAATCTTCAGGTTTTGATAAAAATTCTTACCCCCTTGATGCAATGCAGTCTTAACGGTCTCCTCCTCCTCGTCGGAATCTGAATCTACTCTCTCCACATCGGACTCAATAATTTACTTTGAAGAAGATTCACCTTATTTGCCACCTCCATGGATAAGACTGATGAGTTATGTGAGAGTCGAACCTATCGTCTCGATCTGCTTCTCTAATGCATCAATCCTCGCTGAATTGTCTCCTTCAGTCATCTTCTCCTTCCTTATCTTCTGGACTTCTTCCAAGAAAATAAGGCTCTCGCCAAGCTTCTTGTACTATGATCGAGTAAGGACCATACACAGGATTCCCCCTTCACAGGATCTGATTGCTCTGATACCAACTTGATACGAGTCGTCGTGCGAGCACCATTTGGTCGCGGAATTACCAAAATATGGGTTGAGAAGAAGATAACCAAAACACAAGAACAATTCAGTATGACGAAGGAAAATACTTTCTCTAGATTATGAAGAATCAATTATTACAAATCTCTCCCTCACAATCTCACTAGAATCGAGAACAACCTCTCAATCATCTCTAAACCCTAATACAAGATTAGAATCTCTCTTAATTCCCTCTGATTGCTTAGAAACCCTAAAACAATCATTTATATAGGTGTACAAACGTTGATGACAATCTGGTAAATAACCAAGCCCAAAACCAACAGGAAATCGTGTGAACAGAAACCCAAACGAACCAGGAAACCATCGATGAGTCGACTCATGACTGAGATGAGTCGACTCATGACTGAGATGAGTCGACTCATAACTGATGAGTCGACTGGTCAGAAACTTTTACTAACATGACTTGATTTCGTGAGTTGACTCATGACAGGCATGAGTCGACTCAACCTAATGAGTCGACTCATGCACATGTATGAGTCGACTCACGAGCTGAAAACTGGATTCTTCGAATCTGCTGCTCGTCGTCTCGTTCCATGCTTCCACCTGCGTTTCACTGTACTGTTTTACACCCCTATTCTCATGCAATCATGATAATCATCTATCCTCAAGCTCCCGAAGAGAAGATACACCCGTATTAATATCCAAAGAAATTAACTTCTTCCACACTTTAATGCTGCCCTCAACGTTTATTTAAAAAAATTCACTAGCCTTTTCCCCTCATCTGTTCCTAAAGATCAAACTGCTTAACTTTTAGCCTAACAAATGCCAACGAAAAAGTTGCATTCATTTTCTTCTTAAGGTGGTAATATGACTATTCATGGATCACATTACTTCTGTAAATAACTATGTTACTTACTCTTCTACTTGACTACATGTGTTGATCATTACATTTTGTTTGGATGTAGGCTTTCCTAAAATCATGATTAATATTTTCTTGATGGTCATTTGAAACAAAGTATGATACTTCAGCAAGTAAATAATGTATATTAGGTATTTATTCCACTCAGGGGTCTCTATCCAAATTCTTAGCTTTCGGGTCACTCCAAAGTTTATTTACCTTTTTAAGACGAAATTTCGCATATTATGTGATTTTGAAATAACCAGAGCACAACTATTCATTATATTCAGGAGTATTTTGTTTTCTATCTGAAAATTAATATTTTATCTTTGATTTTTCTGCCTTATTCAGGGAAGAGAACCAGATTATATAACAACAAATATATTAAGCACACATTTCGATTCCCAAGTTCAAATAGATTGAATACGCGTCAAATTATATAACAACAAATATATTAAGCACACATTTCGATTCCCAAGTTCAAATAGATTGAATACGCGTCAAAATCATATCTATTGTGATGAAACAAAAATTCGATTCCCAAGTTCAAATAGATTGAATACGCGTCAAAATCATATCTATTGTGATGAAACAAAAAAAATCTATCGAAGCATATATTACAAAAGAAGCATGCTATTTCTCTCAGCAACTATATGAGCCAGCACCAATTATCTACTTTCCTTTATAACTAAAGGAAATTCTTACTGTGAACAGTAAAATTTCTCATTTTCCACGTATTTTAATATCAATTTCCCACAACCGTCTATTCTAATTTGTAAGGAACTTTGAAACGTTTTAGGAGATGGAAATGGAGATGTAGATGTTCTTATTATAATCTGTAAGAATGTCGTGCTTAGCACAGGATGGATACGTCTAAAAATGGTTCCAATAACCTAAACATGGTTCCAATAATCTAAAAATGGTTCCAATAACCACCAATCTAACACCCACTCTCACAACAGTTATCGCTCTCCTTGAATCGGAGAAGAACCGGTGATTTTCCACTCTCTTCCTCCTCCTTCAGATCTCTCGTGATTCGTCGACGCTGACGTCATCCTACAATAACTCTCCGTTATCAATCTCAAAGTTGAATCTCGATCAAACAGCGAAGCAATGGGCGATGTGATTCAGGTCACGGTCCAGCGAGGGTTAGCCGACAAGCTGTACGAGAAGCGAAAGATCGCCGCTCTTGAGGTGTGAATTTTTTAGGGTTTTGTTTGTTGCTTCGGTCAATTTAGGGCTTTGTTTGAGTTTTAGGGGTTTAGGATGTTGTTAAATGTAGATTGAAGGGATAGTGAAGCAATTAGCGGTCACTGGCGACCATGAGAAGATTAGCGTTGTGATCAATATTTTGACTACGAAGTTTACTTATTCACCGCAGACGAATCATATCATTGAAAGGTTTATTTCTTGGATTCTCTATTTTTTTATTAAAAATTTTTGGGTTCTTAGGAGATTGTAAGGTTTTGTTATTGTGTGTAGGGTGGATTATTAGGGCTTGCTGCAGTGACAGTTGGATTAGCAACAACAGCTCCCTAACATTATATTGATGTAAGAATATGAGTAGCGCATTTGTTTCTTTATTTCTACCATGCTATGAAAATGTACAGAAATGAAACGATTGAGAATGTAAAATTGAAGTCAAATCCTAAATATTATGTGAATTGACACTCTGTAAATAAATATGCTGTAAATAAATAAATATATGAAACTTAGATGGATTCTTAAGAAAAACAACACTCTGTAAATAAATATGCTGTAAATAAATAAATATATGAAACTTAGATGGATTCTTAAGAAAAACAACAAGAAATGGGATGAAATGAAATGAAATAAATTATCTGATGGCGTGTTATTCAAGATTTTGGTTGGTGCACTTATCTCTTGGTTAAATGTTTCTTGAATTCTCTGTTGAATTTATCTTCATGCATAGATTATTTGTTATTGTAGGTAGACAAGAAATGCATGAACTTAGATGGATCATGGTTGTTTCCCTTCTCAAAGGATAATTCAGGACATATGAGGCTGATAACTTCAGTTTATTTATTGAAATGAGCTCTTAGAGATCACAGTTTTTATAGTTTCAATATTGCTAGGCTAGAGATTAGCTGCTTATATATCTTAAGAAAGAAATTACCCACCTGAATATGATATTTGCATTTACTAATTACATAGCATACGGGGAATTTATTTTGAGGCAAAGAAATGGGAAAATAATGAAGCAATTAGGTAGTGGGAACTTAAGGAGTAATGATATATTTAGCACATTATATCATGGAAAAATGTATCTTAATTTCTTTCGTTGATTTAATCTACTCCTAATCTACTTTTGATGTTTAGGGGTTATTGATCTAATACAATCTACTTTTGATGTTTTTGATGTGTTCTTGATTTTAGTAATGATTCAAATTCTATGATTTCTATTTCAAATTGTATTTGGTCGAAGCTTATTTTTTGGAAAATAAGAGCGATATAGTTAAGATTTGAGCATTAATTAGAATTAGGGATGAGTGGAACTCATTATTTATCCAAATTTAGCAGACACAAATTAGAAGAAAAAGAGGATGTTGATTTAGTGTACTTTTCCCCCTAATTTTTAATTGCAAGATGATTTGGGCCTTCAATTTGCGCTAATGCAACCAAACATGTAAAGTAATGATATTAACTGGAATTATCATCCTTTGTATCCTTAACCTTAAAGATATTAACTGAATGTGTTGAGGTGATCATTTTTGTGTGTGCCTCCATCATGGATAGTTTATATAACCTGCTTAAAGAACACGCTTCATTGACATATTACTCGCAAATTGCAATCCACCAAATATAATACCCTCCATAATTTAGTCAACATCAAAAGATGTATGTTTGTCTTTTTCATGTTTTTCTGCCATAGTAATCTGAACTATCAAACTATTGGAAGAAATTCTAAATTTAGCATACATTAGATATATAAATGCTAATGACGTGTGCACAAGATATACCAGTGTTAATGATGAGAAATAGTTTTTTGAATTCGATTAACTTCTATAGAAAGTGAGTTGTAGATGTTCTCTACATTCAAAGACATAGAGGAACATCTATCTGTGAGTATCTTCTGTTCACAATGACAGAGATTTGTTATCATACTTTTGAGTCTAATATATAATTTTAATTAATATGAGCATTATGGACCGAGGAATTAGTGTTCAATTGAGTATGTAGAATATTTTAACGCATCTATCAGCTGCGTATATACATCTATGAAAATTCTAAAAGGTACTGCACAATTATGGTGTCTACCCTCGCATATAGATGTTCAATATGTTTCTAACCACTTACGTATGAATTTGATTAACAGCGAATGTAAGGAAAATAATTCCCCCGCTTAAAACCATGCTTCTTAACATACTTAAACTGTCTTTACATTCTTGCAAGACAATTTACTAAACTATATTCAAATTGTACTTTATAGTAACACATTGTTTCGTGCTACGGCTTTCAGTATTAGGGGATCTTTCTTACTTGATAAAATTATTAAGTGCATATACTAATGGAATTAAATCTTGATGCAGGAATTGGGTATCTAGCCTTCGATAAAGGAGCACAAATTTTGGACACATAAGATCATTTGTGTACGGTAAAATCAGTTTTCCTTAGGAATTTGCAGAAAATTTTTTAGAAACCGTGCTTTGCACTGGTCTAAATACTAGTTGGGAGTAATAGCAACATAAAAAGGCGGGGAAGGCAACGGTGGCAAAATAAGCAGAAGAATCACTAACGACGCAGTGATGCAGAGAAGTACCAGAAAAGATTGCAGGCTGAAGTAGCCTCGATCGCTATTCGCATTGTGTTGAGCCCCATTGTAGTCTTCAAGTTGTTCTTGCTTGCATTGTATTGTACCAGAACAATGGGCTTCTACAACTTCTAGGCCGTTAATCAATTTTAGCTCCGATTTAAACAATTTTCCCAATTTCATTTAATGTTACCTAGCGGAAATCAATTAATAAGGTAGATCTACCAAAGTTGAAAATCAATTAATACGAACCTGATAATAGTTGAAAATGCAAAATGATGATACCCATCAACCAGAATTTCTAAAATTCTTTGTACTCTAGAAATTGAATAAGAGTTAATAAGAGTAAAAATATTGGAACGTATGAAGGTAGGGAGAGCTATAAATCTGATCAGCTACTTAAGACTCTTCTCTTTCTTAATGTGTGAGAATAAATTGAAAACATGAATTAAAACTTGAACATATTTTACTTTGAAATGAAAATATCTATTCAATTTTAAATCTCAAGATGACCCAAGTGAGGATATGTACCTGTTGTGCTCAATCTCTCTTGCATCTCTTCTCCTCAATCCCTGAGCACCAAAAATAAGTAACAGTGAAGACAAGATAAATTCAAAGAAAAAGGAGGAGCAAATAAGGAAAATAAGGAGAAATCACAGGTGTACAATGAAACAAAGATGAATCCAATACTTCTGTTGATGGTGAAGGCGATCAAACCCTCTCAAACGCAATCCCAAACTCCTCTCATCACCCCCTCCCTCTCTAAAACCCCAACCTTCCCCAATCAAACCCTCACCGGTCTCTTCTTCTATCTCATCATCCCCAACAACCACCACCACCAAATCGCCG